GTATAATTGATTCATAGCTCTCTTTCCCTATATTTATATATATTTTATGTGCAGAAATTAGTTACATGGTGATGGTCTTGTCATTTGGCTGTAAAAGAAGCAATTGGATTTACTCAATCAAATGTTTGTTGCTAATTTATGACATCTCTTGCTGCAGTTATTTAAAGAGTGTACCATGCCTGATATTTCTGGGAATTCATATGAACTCTCTCTGATTAGCTGCAAATGCATTGGAGCTTATGTCAGGAACAAGAAGAATCAGAATCAGGCAATACACTTTGATTAGTTTGGTTATTTAGTAACTTCCATCATTTCTTAATTTTTGATTGGTCTGTTGATCGGATGTAAATTTTTTAAATGATACAGATTTGCTGGATATGGCAAAAAGTCAATTCGCAGAATGATAGAGGGTTCCAGCGGTTCTTGGATAATGTTCAGTACAAATGTAGTGGCATACTTCGCTATGAGCATGTATTTGGAAAAGGCTTTGTAAGCACAGGAGGAATTGGTATGTTTGACCTAGCTCTGCCTTTATTTATTTATTTCCGATTGTGTAGATAAGAGCATGAGGAAAAGGTCTAAGGTCTAAAGGAATTGCATGTAGGTGCATTTAAGCGGAATTGCATTGTTCATAAAAAGGTGGAAATTTCAATTTGTAAATTTGGAATATGTCCCGATGTAATATGAAACCTTAGGATACTTAGGACAAACTTAAAAAATTTTTAGGGTTTATTCGCAAATGTGTGTTTAATTTAGCTAGAAGGGAATCTGAAAAAGAAGAATAAAAATTGACCTCAAAATGAAATTCCATGTGAAATTCTAACAATATATTCCAATTTTTATGAAAATCGATGAAATTTTCGATGTATTATTTTTATTACATGAATTCCATATATAATCAATTTTTATTATTTGAGGAGAAGATCCTCACCATCTTTTAGTTCAATTTAAGTGTTGATTGTAAATAAATTAGTACAAAACATTTAGCTTTTTCGCAAAATATAGCCTTGGAATCATTCCGTATCACTATTTATGTGAAGAATCTTATGTAGAAGTTTAGAATTTTATCCTGTCTACGATATTTGGCTTTTGTCTTTAGGTTCAGATGCACAGAGGATCTTAGTCTAGCTTATCTACTTTACTCTGGTTATATTTAGCTATGAAACCTTTTAGAATTCATTTAGAATATCATGCTCTTTCCTAACTTCTTTATTCCTTTGTCTGTAAACAGAGACAACAAAAGAATTTGTGGGCAAGCTGGATCTTAAACCAGGACAGAAAGTTCTAGATGTTGGGTGTGGCATTGGAGGTGGTGACTTCTACATGGCGGAGAACTTCGATGTCCATGTTATTGGGATTGATCTCTCTGTAAATATGATTTCTTTTGCTCTTGAACGTGCCATTGGACTCAAATGCTCTGTTGAATTCGAGGTTGCTGATTGCACCAAGAAAACTTACCCTGATAACACATTTGACGTCATTTACAGCCGTGATACCATTCTGCACATTCAAGTGAGACTACTCATCCCGGGAAGATTTTTCTCTTCTCTGAGCTGTTCCATGTTTTTTAATTCTATTTTAATTAAACCTTAACAAATGAGTCTAGGATGATTAAATTATGTTGACTATGTCCTCCACAATTCTTCTAATTTGGATGAGAGAACAGACTTATCAATCTAGATAACTTGCTTTATTTGGCTTGCCTCTTTACCTTGAAAGATACCAATCAGGCTTGGGCATGCTACATAAGAGCAGAGAACTTATATTTATGATTTTAAAATATCTAGACAGTCGGCCTCATTAGTCATTTAGGTGGTCATTTGGAGTTGTGCATCAGTAAGTCTTTGCATTTTTCTTCAATTTGGTTGAATATTTGTCAACAGTGTGAGTTTTGATCCAAAATTTTCTCTCCCTGATTGCGCCAAAACTAATTTTTATTTTCAGGATAAACCAGCATTGTTCAGAACTTTCTTTAAGTGGTTGAAGCCAGGAGGTAAAGTTCTTATCAGTGATTACTGCAAAAGTGCTAAAGCCCCCTCATTAGAATTTGAAGAGTACATCAAACAGAGAGGATATGATCTTCATGATGTTCAAGAGTATGGTCAGGTACATCTGCGTAATAATATTCCATTACTAATTGCCTCTCTTTTGTGTTTCCCCAAAAGGGAAGAAAAGGAACTTTTTTAAAGTCACAAGCTCTGAATTCTGTTTGAAATTACTGTAGATGCTCAAGGATGCTGGTTTTGACAAATCATTGCTGAAGATCGAACTGATCATGTATGCTAGCTTTTATATTCTCTTTCTATATTGACGAAAGAAGCTGGTTGTGGCTTGACTTCATGTTCTAAGTGGGTTTTCTTTCGTTTTGATTCTGATTTATCTGTCCTTCAGTTCTTACGAGTCTTACAAAGAGAATTAGATGCAGTGGAAAAGGACAAGGATTCGTTCATTAAGGAGTTTTCTGAAGTGAGTATTCTCACCATTTGGTGTTTCCTCAGTTCATCCATGCTTGATGTTAAGCTGCCTAATAACATTTTTCTTGTTTATATATTTTCAGCAAGATTACAATGACATTGTCGATGGCTGGAAATCAAAGCTGGTCAGAAGCACCTCTGGTGAGCAGAGGTGGGGGCTATTCATTGCCAAGAAGAAGTAATGTGGGATGTTCAGTTTCATGTGCTATTTATAGCTTTTGCGTTATGGTCTGTAATAATTATGGAACTATCCCATTGTTTTTAAACAATATGCTCGTAAACCTCTGGTAATCTTTATCTTTTCATGACAAAGTCAATGACTTCTATCTCATGATTTTTCTGGAATGCATGATAATGTAGACGCATACTCTTTAGTTGATGGAGATCAATACGCGAGACTGATAAAATTAAAACTGGAAAATATACCCTCACCCAAAAGCTACAATTGCCTCGCATGCAATCACAGCTCTCCCTCACAACATCAAATTTCATCTTCATAATCACCATAATCATCACAGACTGTGGCATCCTGATACTGTTGGTACTCTGCGACAAGATCATTCAAATTACTCTGTGCTTCAGTAAACTCCATCTCATCCATACCTTCCCCAGTGTACCAATGCAAGAAAGCCTTCCTCCTAAACATGGCAATAAACTGCTCGCTAACCCTCCTAAACATCTCCTGTATCGAAGTTGAATTCCCCACAAATGTCGACGCCATTGATACCCCTTTTGGCGGAATATCACAAACGCTCGACTTCATGTTGTTCGGGATCCACTCAACGAAGTAAGACGAGTTCTTGTTTTGCACATTTAAAATTTGCTCGTCAACCTCTTTTGTGCTCATTTTGCCTCTGAACACCGCCGAGGCCGTGAGGTAGCGACCATGACGCGGGTCGGCTGCGCACATCATGTTCTTGGCATCCCACATTTGCTGCGTCAGTTCCGGCACGGTCAACGCTCGGTACTGCTGCGACCCTCTCGATGTCAGCGGTGCAAATCCCACCATGAAGAAATGAAGCCTTGGGAATGGAATCAAGTTGACCGCTAGTTTCCGGAGGTCCGAGTTGAGTTGACCGGGAAATCTTAAACAACAGGTGACTCCACTCATTGTTGCAGAAATCAGATGATTCAGGTCTCCAACTGAAATCAAATACATAAATTCACCAACTTTATATATAAACAGCTGTACCTCCTGAGATTGATATAGTATACAAAACGTTGGAAATTTAAATTAGTTTGCTTACAGCTTGGGTTGGTGAGCTTGAGAGTTCTGAAGCAAATATCGTAGAGAGCTTCATTGTCGAGTACCATGCACTCGTCGGCATTTTCAACGAGCTGATGAACAGAGAGAGTAGCGTTGTAAGGCTCGACGACGGTGTCGGAGACTTTTGGTGAAGGAAAAACAGAAAATGTAAGCATCATTCGATCTGGGTATTCTTCTCTCATCTTTGAAATCAGTAGGGTTCCCATTCCAGACCCAGTTCCACCTCCAAGCGAATGGCAAACTTGAAAACCTGCATTGACATTAAATTATTTTCTTATTTGATGATTTACAGAACTGTGAAACACAAATTTGAAATTGAAATTACCTTGTAGGCAGTCACAGTTCTCAGCCTCCTTCCTCACAACATCAAGAACCGAATCAATCAGCTCAGCGCCTTCAGTGTAATGTCCTTTGGCCCAATTGTTTCCAGCCCCAGATTGACCGAAAACAAAGTTATCGGGCCGGAAAATTTGGCCATACGGGCCGGTTTTGATACTGTCCATGGTACCCGGTTCCAGGTCCATCAGCACAGCTCGCGGCACATACCGCCCACAGCTGGCCTCGTTGAAATACACGTTCACTCTCTCCAGCTGCAACTCTGAATTTCCATTGTATTGACCAATGGGATCAATGCCATGTTCGTCACAGACTACTTCCCAGAATTTTGACCCGATTTGGTTCCCGCATTGCCCTCCCTGAATGTGAAGAATTTCACGCATTTTGGGTTGGTAAGTGAGAATTCTTTAGGGGTAAAATGGGAATAGAATCTTTTTAGAGCCTTTAACTGGGAAGTTGCTGGGAGATCTCCATTTATAGAGAGAGAAGTGGAAATGGTGAGAAGGGTAGAGCTTAGTCTATGGATTAAATTAATGGTTTGATGAGTATATGGTAATTGATAATGAAGGGTTGGGATTTGATAAGGGAATTCAACCGGACGGCTGAGGAATGTCCGCCTGGTGAGAGGGATGTGTTCTTTTAGAAACTATAATTTATTAAATCATCTTCTCCAACTATATATGTATATATGTATGTATGTATGTATAATTTTGTTGTAAAAATATGTCCAAAGCCAAATTGGCATCAAGAGGAGAAGCCGGCCATGGTTTTGGAAATATACCACATAGCTTTCAACTCTTTCTTATTCGAACAAATGTCAAATTGCTTATTTATTATATACGAGCATTTACTAATGATTTAAGCTATATATGTTTGTAAGAAGGTAATTTATTAAAACTTTTATATTTATTATAATTATTAAATAGTCAAAGATTCTAATTATAGAATGTATTTTGATTGTTAATTAAGATATTATAATAAATATGCCACCTTTCATGCCAAAGATCTTCAAACACTCTGAGAACAAAGAAAAGAAGAAATCATCTTCTAAAATGTACTTTAATTACCTTTGCTTTATATGTTTTTACCTTAGCTTCCAAGATTTTTTAATTCTCTGTTAATAGATCATAACGGTATATACTGTGACATTTCTCGTCTCGTTATCAAACTCTTTATTTTTGTACTATTTTAATGATAAATGAATTTATATTAAATAAATAAATTCTTAATATATGTTAAAAGATGAGTTTATATTAAATCATGATTTTATATATTATTGCTGTAATGAAATGTAAGTGTACCATCTCTGTCCTAAAACTCCCTATACCTCTATCACTTCACACTCTACCTATCTATATACCGCCATATACACTTACATCCTGATCATCACCATCGTTTAGCCAACTTGACATGCATATACACACACACACACACACACATATATATATATATATATGTAAGTAGATATAAAGACACAACACCATGCAAACATTCATTATCATATGTATGTATGAATATGAAGTTCCATGAACTGCTCAAGAGATCCAATATTAATACTGTACCTTCCCACTCTTCAAAAAGTATGTAATTATAATTTTTTTTTTAAAAAAATTCTATTTTGAATAATAAATTTAAATATAATATTATTAAATTGATTCATTTTTTACATTAAAATATTTTGAGGCACAAACAATATTTTCTTAAAGAATAATCCGAATATTATTAAGTAATTTTAACAGATTAAATATAAAATAAACTATGCAATTACATATAAATTTTTGTTTATATATATATATATATATTATTACATGGACGTAAAATATATGGAAAGAGGGAAATTCGATAAGATTATATATCTGATATTTAATTAATTTATTTTTATAGATAAAAGTAAAAAAAATATAAAAAGAGTAGAAAGTGGGGGGGTATTAATACTAAATGGTGTAGAGAAATGGATGTATGGAAGAGTCACTATCGGAGAAAAACAAAGTAATTATTGAACAATAATTAAATATGGTTTGTGGGAAAAAAAAATAGTTTAAGCTGCAGAGAGACAGATCAGCTGCTGGCCATATAGACCACCGACTATACAAATAGCAAATTAATCATTTCATCATAATGACCAGTGAACAATGCCATGCACACCCTTCTGCTTCTTTTATACATATATATATATATATATTTGTGTATATACTTCTTTTAATAAGACAGAAGTAGTAATAAGATTGTGAAGTAGTACTGGACCTATTATGCACACATCAACTCATGGGACACATTATATAGATATGGACACTCAGCAAGTTAATGAGTTTGAAGAGAGACATGGCAAAACACATACTAGATTCCAAATGTGGAGACCGCTACATTTTTGTGACATATAACCTAGCTCTTGCATATATATATATATATATATATATTCATCTACAAAAACATATGTATATACAGAATGATCTCTCCTCCCTCCATGTTGTGTGGATATGAAGATTTTCTCTTACCCATTTTCGCTTTTTACCCAACTTACCTTATTTCCTCTATCGCTCTGCATCTCTTTCACACAGTTTTTACTAGGACATTACTATTTTTAACCAGTGTTTACATACATACATACATACACACACACACATATATACGGCATTAAGTGCATCTAATGTTGTTTTTACCCAAGTAACTTTTATGGGTGTATATATATATATATATATATATATATATATAACAAATTCTATTTAATCAAGAGAAATATTAGCAAAATGATATTTTAATTACATATAATCCTCGTAACACCATCTCTTCTTTTGCAGACACTGTATTCTCGTACTAATTTGATCATACCCAGATCAAATACTTTATGATTTAATGAAAAATTAGAAAAATCAAGTTCATGGGAAAAGAAAGTTTGTTACTTTCTAGTACATAAAGGTAAATAAGTCCGGGTAATTAAGTTTGGAAGTTGAAGGATTTTGTGGGTAAGGTTAATTAATCAGTGAGTATATGTATATATGTATATATGGGGGGTAGGGTAAGGAGTATGGAGACAAAGGAAGGGGTAAGAAGAAAGGTGGGGAGAGGGGCAGTTCGGATTGAGAATAAGTGTGAAAAGCACGAGACGTTGGAAGAACAATAAATGAGAATTGGGTTGATGAGGGTGATGATAACCCTCATCATCGTCACGTCGTTTTTCTTTCTCTTCTCCCCACGCATCCTCCCCCTGAATTCCACGCCTCTCTTCTCTCATTAGTCAACCTCATGTTTCTTCCTCACTTTTTTGTTCCTTCTCAAACCTACACTCTCTCTCTCTCCCTCAGTTGTCTTTCCAGTTGATTTTGAATATATTCTAATTCAATCACACACCCTCCAATTCCATCCATCTCCTTTTCATTTTCATTTTCCCCCTAGCTTATTGCATGTGCTTTCTCATTTCTGCAACTTCTTCAACTCCCATATCTTCTGTCCCATCACTTTGCTAAATTAGACCCACCACTATCAACCGTTATATTTCTTCCTCCATCTACCAACCCTCTTTACGTTACGTTTATATTTATTTACAAAACCACTTTCTCACAAACTATTTCTCTTTGGTTTAGATCCTATTAGGTTTTAGATTCAAAATGTGGACGATGGGATACAATGATGGTTGTGAGTTCAACATGTCAGCAGCAGCCGATTCCTTCAATGGCAGAAAACTGAGACCTCTCATGCCGAGGCCACTCACTTGCACGAACAACAACAATCCCACTGCAAACCCTCCTTGTCTCAATCGGATCCATGGCACCGACTTTTTTACACTCAATCACCATCTAGGTATGCGTTTTTTTTTCTCACCAGTACTTAACGCTTTTCTTTTCGTTAGTTAGCCTCTCTTTTTGACTTAACTTCAGTGGTTGCAATAATGGCAGCAGCGACTATGGCTGATCTGAACAAGAGAGATTTCAACGCACAACCGGCTGTTGTCGTCAGCTCAAGGTGGAATCCAACCCCCGAGCAGCTCAGAACCCTCGAAGAGCTATACCGTCGGGGCACTCGAACGCCCACCGCCGACCAAATTCAGCACATCACCGCACAACTTCGCCGCTACGGGAAGATTGAAGGGAAGAATGTGTTCTACTGGTTCCAGAATCACAAAGCGAGAGAACGCCAAAAACGGCGCCGTCAGATGGAGTCATCTACTCCCGATAACGAACACAACGCCCACGACTTCGAAATCTTTGAAAGAAAAGATTCAGGTAACATCACAACCCAACAGATGAACATCGATTTATCTCTGTAGTTAATCTATGGATTCAGGTAGAGGAAAAAGAAGAAATCTTTGATGTGTTTGATCCATATTTTGGTTTACCCAGAATTGAATTTGTTGCTTAGAGATGTAAAGTTAAATTCTTTTTGTTTTTCTTGGTGTCTACAGGGGCAAGCAGGACAAGTTATGAAGTTGAACAGACCAAGAACTGGGCACCCTCTACAAACTGCAGTACACTGGCAGAGGTCCACCATATTCTACCTTTGTCTTTCTTTCACATATGTATAATATCCCAAACAAAAACCCTACTTTTCTTTTTTTCTCAATTCCCACCTCAAATTTATTTTTTATTCTACTTTAATCCCTAAAAGTTATAAAAAGTCCATAACTTGCAATTAAGGTTTCATAATCATTCCTCTGATTATTACACATTCTTACTCATTATTTTCCCAGGTTTAGATTAAAAAGCTATACATATCATATTATGTATATGAAAGAAAATGAATCACATACGTACACATGTATGTACATGATGTATGCAATGGAAGGGAAGAAAAGCTCAATTTGTTTGTTGGGAAATGAAAAGAAAAGGGTGTAAAAGCTGCCTTCCTTCCTTTCTGTCGGGGCTGCTGTTATGAAACTTGCTGGTTGCTTTTTGGGTCTTGTGCGTGTTAAGCATTCATGGTGTTTTAGGGCTAAAGTGATAAGGGTCACCCTCCCCTCTGCTACTACTCTCATTGTGAAAAGACAATACTACCCCTTTATATAGTACACTTTGTCTCTTCCTTTTTTTCCCCCACTTATTTGAATTACCAGCCTCAATTTCGAATAAAGACAAATTGAAGGACTACACCCAAAAAAAAAAAAAAAGAAAAAGAAAAAGAAAAACTTCTTTGGCATGCATATAGTAATTTTGGAATTATCAAGAGATGAAATTTCGTATTATAATTTCATAGTCATTGTGAAAATTTCAGGAATCTGATTCAATGTTAAGACGCCCAGCAAAGTCAGCAGTGGCTGCAGAATGTAGACCAGAGGGATGGGCTCCATTCATGGAAAGGAATTCCGCGTGGCAGATGATGCAGCTCTCTTCCCCTCTTCCTCCTCCTCCTCCTCCTCCTACTCACATCATAAGCACCACCGCGGTCCCCACCTCCGCCGCCGCCGTCATATCCACCGCGGCTCATCGTATTCCGACCTCAATAGTAGCAGAGCCGACTACTGCAACATCAAGAATGAAACTGAAGTTCACCAAGACTACAACTGATCACGATCATCATCATCTCAACATCTTTATAGCGAATGGCGTTAACCAGTTGAACAGTTTAGCTGCGAGTCATTATGAAGAGAATGGTGAATGTGGGGAGTCTCAGACCCTTCAACTGTTTCCTCTTCGCAGCGGGAATGAAAATGATAATGAGAAGGAGATGAGTGAGGGATCAGTTGGGGAAGCCATGAATGGTCCTTACCAGTTCTTTGAGTTCCTTCCATTGAAGAACTAGGTAGCAGGTAGATGACGATGAGAATTAACCTAGTGGGCTTTAGTAGTTAAGTATTTTACTAGCGTGGTAAGTTAGCATGGTTAGATATTGAATTCTGCATGGTGTTTTTGCAGAATGATGTAACAGGTGATGGAAGATGGTGAAGTTAATTTAATGTTGTTGCATTAAACTGCATTAATAGAATGTTTTAGAGTAATAATATTTAAGGGGATGTTTGGGATCTGAATTAGTATATTTGTAATTGTCTGATTCCTGCATAACTAAAGATATGAATATATATATATATATATATATAATGGCACATATTTAATCAGTCTAGTATATCTAATGTCTCATATTTTTAAGATACTTAGTCAATATACGTAAATTACTATACAATCATCAGATGATCAAGAAGTACATATATATAAATAAGTTAAGAAAAATCAAAATCTGCTTGCTATACTTACAAAGTTTTTTTGTAGGAATTTTTTTTATAATGAGGCGTGTGTATTTATAATGTCATTAAATACAAAGTAAATTAGAAGTCTCGGATTTTGGTACGGTCCAAGAATAAGAATTTAGGGGTAAAGGGGTGAAGCTTTGACCAGATGATGCAAATTGTTTTGGAATTTAAGTAATCATTCATTAATTACGTTGACCAAACCAAATCTTTTACCTCACTCTGACTGACTAACTTAATTTTTTTAAATAAATTTATACATTAATTACATCAATCATAATATAAATTATTTATAAATCTGACAAAAACTAGGATTTATTAATTCAATTATATACATAGTACATACGTATATATATATATATATTTGAGAAATGCATTACGGAGCAAAAAAGAATTAAAATACATAATGAATGCATTATAATTAATTTATTTATAAAAAAAATTTAAACTAAAATTTTAATTCAAGAGCATCTAAATTGTTTTGCTTAAGAAAACTATGATTAATACTAATTATTTTTTAACTTGATAGTTAGTATTTTTAATTTCTCTAATGAGATTATAAGCTGAAATCGGGTTGTTTGTTCATACATATTTATGTTTGAAATTTAATTGTATTGCTTTCTTCGTAAAATTTTGATTATTTTACTTTTTTTAAAGGATTGATTATTAATAAAAAAAAAGTGAAATTTCAGCCAAAATATTTAAAAGCTTGAGAATACTTGTATATTTATGAATGACAACCATTGTAACTAACACTAGTCCATACCGTGTATATATGTAGATATACGTTTACGTCCATGAATGAGCAGTCATATCATGTAAATGTAAATATATGGTTACATATGTATATATAGTGAATCAAGGGACATATATAGACACATATGCTTAATATTTGTGGTGTGTGTATATATCAGTTCTTTTGCATGGTTAGTTTCAACTTTCAAGTAATAGACAGTGCATGAGGGGTCTTACACTATACACACACATATATACACACACACACACAGATATACACTTATATAGGAAATGCGCAACTGAGATTCCAGTCGTGATGTTGAGGAATTAATGGCAGCTAGCCAGGTCTAGGATATTTAAGGCATTCGGACCAATGGCACCAATACCCATATGTCTCTTTTTTTTTTTCGAAAAAAAAGAAAAAATTGCAGAGTAAAGAATATTTTCCAAATTTTGCTTCAATAAATCTAATCTTTAAACAATCTTAAAATCATATATATGTTTATATATATATATATATGTATATATCTGTGGTAGCTTAGTTTGAGGTTAAACGTAGAGTGTATATTTGCATGAAGAAGCCGATCCTGTGATCTTAATTTACACAGCCTCCAATGGCTGCTAATTGATAAGCCGTAGCTAGCCAGCTCTACTGTACTATATATGGTTTGAATATATATAATAAAATTATATATATTGGAATATAATATAAATGAGAATATATTTAAAATTATATATATATATACATATATGTATCTGTGTCTACTGTTGAATTTGTGTTTGAGGTAGGATGAAACGTAGGCTGACTCCCTTCGTTCAGAATCTGCAGATTGAAGAGCAGACAGAGAAGGTGCTTTTCTCTCTTTCATGCATCCTACCTTTTCTTCTTCTCTCATAGCCTTATCTTGAAATGAGCAACCATTCCTGTCTCTTGTAAATTCTTATATATACAATCAAAAGAAAATAAAACATGGGTCAAATTCTAATGTACACATATATTCAAAAATCAATTAATTAATTATATATATGTATATATGGAGTGGTGGGTGGAAAGTATATATACCAATATTGGTATATAAAGGGAGCTTTGGGTTTTTCAACGAGGTTCTTGATCAGTGCAAAACGTCAATGAAACAAAGGCTTGTTAAAAAGAAAGAAAGCAGAGGCAGAGATGAAAAGCTGAATATATCTCTCCTGTCTCTTGTCACTTGTGAGATCTTTTAAACCCTATTTACATTAATATTCAATAATTTTAATTTCATTTCTAAAAATTTTACATATAAATACTTGAAATATAGTTAGGAATTACATGACATTAAGATATTATATACATATACACCAAGTGTAAGCTTGATGTTTGAAGTGGTCCTGGATAGTTAATCACTGTATGTACTTCACATTTAACTTATTGCAGGGGTAAAAAAAAATCAAACTGGTAAATTTTACAGAATAATATAACAATTTACCTAAAAAAGAAAAAGCTCAAGTTAAATTAATTATATATATATAATATGATTTTGGAAGTTAAAATAGTGAATTATATATATATATATATATATATACATAGATATTAGCTTGCTTGAAGTAGTAAGTTAAAGATGCGTTAGGTATTGATATTTGGGAGTTGAAATGTGATTTGATGAGAAGTTGCTGTCACCATATAATTCAACAAATCATATCAGGGGATCCAAAAAATTCTTTCTTTTGTTTAATTAAAATAAAATAAAATAGACAAGAGACAAAAGAATGAGCTGGTGCATGGAATAAAATAACAAAGGAGCTCGGGGAATTGCCAGAACCCAAATGCCAAACACCCTTCTCTGCAACTCTAAATTGACAACTCCTAAACCCCTTCTCTGTCACCACTGCAACACATACATACATATACATGTACATCTATATATATATATATATATACCCATAGATGTATCTATATATTCTTCTTACCAAACCCATCATGATCATCATCTTTGATCGCCATCTGATCCTCTCTCTGGTCACCTCTCTCTCTAGTCTCTCCCTCCCTCTACCATCATCACCTCATCATGTGACACTTCTCTCCCTCTCTCTCTCTCTCTCTCTCTGCTTCTGACAACCAAGTAGTAAATCTCAGTAAATAAATATTGCCTCTACATGTAAACGAGATTATATACACATATATATATGTGTATTTAATGTGGGTATCGGTCAACCCCCAGGCCTGCTCAGTGCAGGCTATATAACATTGATTGATGAGTCGAGTCAGTAAAATAAAAACCACAGAACGCATTATCTCTCGTTGGTAAATTCTCCCCCACAGTTCATATTTTATTCCATCCTTATTGACAAAAACTTTTTTGTAGTTAATATATTTATAAATATATATTTTGTATCAAAAATCATATCCAACTAAAACAGTGTAATTATAAATGTTATTTATTAATTTTACTAGAATTTAAAATAAATTATTTACACCTATACATAAATATGCAAATAAAATTTGTTAAAATTTTAAGTTTATTCTGAAGATCATACGGAGCCTAACTTTCATGAAGATTTGGTCTTTTAAGTACCATTGTACAATTTTTCTACTTGTATTCAGTATTATCTTTACCAAATTTCGAGTAGTTTTTAAGTACAAATGAATTTGAAATACTTATATTTATTTTACATTTATTCAAAATCTTTAAACTTTGAAATATATTTTTAAAGGGGAAAAATAAATTTTGCAACTTTATAAATTTTTATTTAATAATTATAACTTGTAGATAAATAATGTAAACTTAATCTTTATTTAAAATAAGGCCCAATCAATTATTCGTAGTTTTCTGATAATCACATTCTCCAGCCCAAGCCCACTGTAATTTTTACTCCCTTTTTTTTTTGAACTGCGGTTAAACAAAGCTTGTAAAGTAAAACATAAGGTCTCCAACAAGACCATGACTCAAAGCCCACAAGTTTACCTTATGGGCTAAATTGTTTCAATTAGAACAGCCTATGAAATTTGATGTATACAAATTAAATATTAAATATTTTACTCTGATTTCTGATTTATTTCAGTTAAATTTACTAGAAAAATAATTCGTATATATTTTATGAAATTCGACGGTAAAAATATAACTCGCCATGTAAATAAATTAAAAAATTAACGAGACATAAGAATATGATTAGTTGATGAAGCAAGACGAGTAAATTTAGGGATTAATACTAAGAGAAAAAGTCGTTTTTTATTGACTTTATTGAATTAAATAGTTCTTTTTTAATATATTAAGTAATTTAAAAATATCAGATTATGGGATAAATAGTAAAGTAAAAGAGGAAAAAAGGTAAATAATGAGTGGAAATTAGAACTTTTAAATAATTACTTTGATAAAAATGTTAACGTTACTCCTTTTTCTTTTTCCTTTTTTAAGGGGGACGTTACTATTTTTATTACGAAAAGAATAAAAAGTCCAAAGGTATTAATAAATAAATATAAAAATTTAATGAATTAATTTAAAATTTTTATATTTTATCTAATTATAAAAAATTATACCTCACAGAAAATTTTTTTATTATATTATTTTATTATCAAAAATAAAAAATATAAAAATTTTAAAAAATTACGTGTTAATTTAAAAAATCTACCGTATCACATGTAATTCAAGTACAATTTTTATGTGTTACTTAAAACACTGCATTTTAATTTTTCAAATCAAAGTTACAATATATTCTAAAAATAATTAATGTTTAGTAAATTCTTACCCCAATTTTTAAAGAAGATAGTTGTAGAAAAAGTTTGACAACTTAGATCTCTGTCTGGCCCATGGTAGGACAAAAAAGTTGCAGAAGAATCTCTGCTTGTGGAGGAAGAGGTGGAAGAAATTAACCAATCGGAGCCGTAGATCTTGATGATTACCTTCCTACTCTGTGATGATCACATGATGTCTGTCTCCATTTATAATAAGATAGAAAAAGGAAAGCTTAATACTTGCTTCAGTACAACCAAGTTCTTCAGGGTTTTTGGAAATGGTTTCCTGTTCTGTACCTTCCACTTTCAGTATCTCTTAATTGCAAAAAATAGTTAACTTAATTTGTTTTTGGCTTAAGGGTTTTAATTAACTGGTTAAGTTAATCAATTAGTAACTTTTATTTTTATTAATTTAATTAATATTATAATATACACGATTAAGTGATAAAAAAAAAGAAAAAGAAAAAGAAGAAGAAATAGATTTGAAGTTAAACATGTGAATGTGTTAATGGATACAGACAAGTATTCCCCACTTAACCCCTCTGACATCCTCGAGAAGTGAGCACTTTGTCATCATCACATTCCCCAAATTCTACCTTTCATTTTCCTCCCTCTCTCCGTTTTCTCTCAATTTGCTCTGAAAATCTCAATGTAAAACCTGTTTTACAATTTCACCAGTAGCAATAAATGATAAATCTACTACTACCCTGTTTTTGTTACCGCATTTTCTTGCTTTCTACCCTCCTGGGTCTATAAAAGCGTTCCCCTTACCAGCTCCAAAGGAGGGATTTTTGTCTCCTTCAGTCACTCATCTTGCTCATCCATGGCGGTTCTGCTAAGATCTCTGCTTTTCTTTACGCTTTTCACTCTCTTTCTCTCCCACATTGCAGGTATACCCTTTTCCTTCTGCTCCTTCTTCTCTCTGTTTCTTTAAATCTCGGTGCTTGTTCTGTTTTTGCTTAAATGAAGTCGTAAGCTTTTTCTGTTTTCTTCTTTATGGGTAAGGTTTTCTGATGGCTTTCTTTTCACTAACATTTCAAGTTTTTTCATCTCTTTCACCTTGACCTCTGTTTAGATCACTGTTCATTTTCGTTATGATCTATGCGAGCTTAGGAGCCCTTTTTTTTTTACTGTATTTAGATCTTTTTGTTTGAAAGTTCGCCATTAACGGAAACAGCTTGAATCTTTTCTCACAGTGAACGTATCAGCATCGACAATCACACTTTACAACAAATGTCCACACCCAGTTTGGCCAGGAATCCAAGCCAGTGCGGGCAAACCCCTGTTAGCCAAAGGGGGATTCAAGCTCCCACCCAACAGAGCTTACTCCCTCCAGCTTCCCCCCCTCTGGTCCGGCCGCTTCTGGGGCCGTCACGGCTGCTCCTTCGACGCTTCCGGCAAAGGCAAATGCTCCACTGGTGACTGCGGCGGATCCCTCTTCTGCAACGGTCTCGGCGGCGCACCTCCGGCCACTCTCGCCGAAATCACTCTCGGCCAAGAACAAGACTTCTACGACGTCAGCCTCGTCGACGGATACAACCTTGCCATGTCCATCACCCCATTCAAAGGCTCCGGCAAGTGCATGTACGCAGGGTGCGTCAGCGACCTGAACTTGATGTGTCCGGCTGGGTTGCAGGTCCGGTCGCAGGATAACAAGCGGGTGGTGGCCTGTAAAAGCGCCTGTTCTGCTTTTAACTCGCCTAGATATTGCTGTACCGGGAGTTTTGGTAGCCCGCAGTCTTGCAAGCCGACTGCTTATTCAAGAATCTTCAAGACTGCTTGCCCTAGAGCTTATTCTTACGCTTATGATGATCCAACCAGCATTGCGACTTGCACGCGCGCCAACTACTTAGTCACCTTCTGCCCTCATCGCCGCCATTGATAAAAGCTTTTTCATCTGGTTATCATCCTTATTATTCTTGTTTTATCTCTAGACATCTTTGTTATCTTCTCTCTGGACTGATACTAGTAGAGTTGAAGTTATTATAATATACTTATTTGATTAGTACTGGACTTGAATTATTAATGAATACTAATATATACTAGAAGGAAAAGTTAGATCGTGTCATACTGGTTTGTGTTTTAGTTGTTTTAGGGTATTGCTGTAGTTCTTGATGGGATTGGTAATGGTTGCTGTGAAGGAAAATGGGGTCGAAATGAGAATGAACTGGAAAGTGGTGAATCATAGCTGGCTTCACTGCAGCGTATGTATATATGAATAGATATACATATGCATACAGTAATTTTTAGCTGATTCAAGATTACGAAAGTTGAAAATTTACTCATTACCTATATTTTACTATTTTACCATTTTTAATGTTTGATTAAGGAAGATAGTAAAATGTAAATTTTAAATATATATATATATATATATATCAAAGGGTTAACTAAATAATCTTTTGCTTCTATATGTTACATAACCCCACTCGTTACCAAACCTAGAATACTATCTATCCAACTGCATCATTTGTCAAAGCAGGTGTACCTTGTTCTTTACATATTTGTATTAAAAATGCATGCTATATATATAGATATCATCTAACTTTTTACCCAAAAGAAAAAGCAAAGATAATTTTGCAACCAAACCTAATTATAAAATAAATAATAAGTAATTAAACAAAACAATTTTCAAAGAAACAACTGGGAAGAACTCTCTAACTCAACAGTATACTTGATGCTTGTCAATAGGAAAACAAAACCCAATACTTTTTTCAATGGAATTGATGAACAAGTGAAGATTCTTGTAAGAAAGTGGGTGACTTTGGATATGTCACTTTGTGGGGAAGAAGACCCAGAATTCAGAGCTGTAAAGATACTCACTGAGATCAGATCTAAGGCACTACTTTTTGTTTTTTGTTTTGTTTTGTTTTTTTTTTTCTGGGATTATGTTACATAGTGAGAAAACAAAAGATATGCGGTGGCTTATGGGCTCCCAATATTTATATGTGTGTATAAATCAGAGTATTAAATAGAAAATAAATTAAATTAAATGGTAAAATTACATCATTTATAATTAATACTCTATTTTCTTTTTAATCATGAAAAATCGAATTCCTCGGCTCTTCCAAGCTTTATAAAGCATAAAGATAGAATTTAGTTTTGATAAGATAAGCAACAAATTCATTTTAGTTTCCTGATTTTTCTACAATTTCAGGCCTTTCAATTCCCAACATATTTTCTCTTAAAGTTCATTGCTTCCCCTATAAATAATTAAATCTCTCCATTTCAAAAATAACCCACACAAATATCTTCCCCATCTTCTCCTTTAAAAATAACGTTAGATAAAGTGTGTATATGTAGTTCGTATCCTGTAAATTTTACCCCTTTTTCTTTGATTCCCTTCCGGGTTTATAAAAAGATTACTGTAGTTAGCGGCTGAAGAAGAGGGACGTGAGACCTTCATTTTGCATGACTATGGCGGTTCCGCTAAGATCTCTGCTGTATTTCTTGCTTCTCAATATATTAATCTCCCACATTTCAGGTACTGCTTACCCTTTTACTTTACATTGATTTTCCGCTAAAAAATTGGGAACTTTTTAAGATTTACTCGCCATTGACGCGAAAAATCTTTGCTTTTTATGACAGTGGAGGTATCCGCCGCATCGATAATGATATATAACAAATGCCAGTTCCCAGTGTGGCCGGGGATTCTCTCCAGCTCCGGCGGATTATTAGCAAAAGGCGGCTTCAAGCTCGCTCCCAAAACAGCGTACACCCTCCGACTCCCACCCCTCTGGTCCGGCCGCGTCTGGGGCCGTTCCGGCTGCCACTTCGATAAAACCGGCAGAGGAATGTGCGACACCGGAGACTGCGGAGGTTCTCTCTTTTGCAACGGCCTCGGCGGCGAACCTCCGGCAACTCTCGCCGAGTTCACTATCGGTCAAAACCAAGATTTCTACGACGTCAGCCTTGTCGACGGCTACAACTTACCCATGCAAATCATCCCATACAAAGGAACTGGAAAGTGTCCGCTGGTGGGTTGTTTAAGTGACCTGAACTTGAAGTGTCCGGCGGCGTTGCAGGTCCGGTCAGTTTACAACAAACGGGTGGTGGGGTGTAAAAGTGCTTGTGCAGTTTTTAACTCGCCGGAATATTGTTGTACCGGCAGTTTTGGTAGCCCAGAAACTTGCAAACCGACGTCGTTTTCGAAAATCTTCAAGTCGGCTTGCCCTACGGCTTACTCCTATGCTTATGATGATCCGACCAGTATTGCTACCTGCACTCACTCTAACTATTTGATCACCTTCTGCCCTAATAATCGTCGCCCCCGCTAGATCACGCCACCTTTTTATATTATTATTATTATACTTAAAAACAAATTTTTAGTGTTATATATAATATTTTAATATGTTTTTAATTATTTTTTGTAATATATACAAAAATATAACACAACATATACAAAAATGTAATACAATATTCATCCATATAAATATTATAATGGGTATCACAGTCTAAGTAAATTTGACCCAATTAATTTGTATATTCAAAATTTTAGTATTATACTGAATTATTTTTACACTTATTTTTATTATTTTTACTTGATTATGTTTTTTCAGTTTAATATTATTTTAAATATTTTTATTTATATTCCTGTGTCAAATAAATTTCAAAGAATATTACGAAATAAAATTTAAAGGATATCATTTTTAATTTATTAGAATAAACTCAGAGAGATAAAAAAAAATTTGATAAAATTTTAATAAAAAATACACATTAAATTTATCTTCCGTATAACCTTATGCATACTGCATATTCTGTAAACATGAATGGGAGAAGATTATTCAAAACTTACCAAGTCGCTGGACATTCCAAATGCAATGCTCCTCGTCAGCTTGCCATCACCCAAGAGTTGTATTCGAGTCCTCTTCAAGATCTCAACTGTCTTCCTTTCATCTTTCTCCGGTCCATCTTCATCACCACCCAACTGGGAACCACAACAACCAGAGCACCTCCAAGATCAGGAAGAATTGCAACATACTATACTCAACAGGTCATACTGGACCAGAAGAATCCACATTCTGTGCTCAGAACATCACTCGTAGACGAAGCGCTCCGTCTTCTCGACCTCCTCTGCCTCCGCGGATTCCATCCCGATTCCCTCAACATTAGTAGCATAATCCACGCGCTCTGTGACGCCGCCCGCTTCCACGAGGCTCACCACCGGTTCCTCCTCTTCATCTCGTCTGGTTTCGTACCGGATGAGCGTACCTGTAATGTAATCATTGCTCGCTTGCTTGATTCTAAATCCCCAGTTGATACTTTACGTGTTATGTATAGTTTGATTGGTGTGAAGAGTGAGTTTGTGCCTTATTTGACTAGTTACAACCGTTTGATTAATCAGCTATGCTTGATTTCCCGGGTGGGGAACGCTCATAGGTTATTTTTTGATATGAAGAGTAGGGGACACTGTGCTAATGTTGTTACTTACACTACTTTGATTGATGGGTATGAGCGAATTCGTGAATTAGTTTCTGCTCATAAGTTGTTCGACGAAATGCGTGACTGCGGAGTAATGCCAAATTCACTCACGCTTAGTGTGTTGATTCGCGGAGTTTTTAGGAAGCGGGATGTTGAATGTGGAAGGGAGTTAATGTGTGAGCTTTGGGAGAAGATGAAGAGTGATGAGGGTGAGGACCCATCTGTAAATTCAGCAGCTTTTGCAAATCTTGTTGGTTCATTGTGTAAAGAAGGGTATTTTACTGAAGTTTTCGAGATTGCTGAGGATATGCCTCAGGGAGATAGTGTTGATGCAGGGCTTGCTTATGGGCACATGATTGATTCTCTTTGTAAAGTTGGAAGAAACCATGGAGCTTCAAGGGTTGTATACATAATGAGAAAGAAAGGATTTATACCAAGCCTAGTATCATATAATTCTATTATACACGGCCTATGCAAACAGGGAGGTTGCATGAGGGCTTATCAATTGCTAGAAGAAGGAATTGAATTCGGGTACTTGCCATCTGAATATACTTACAAGGTTCTGGTTGAAAGTCTTTGCCAAGAATCTGATGTTGAAAAGGCCAAGCAAGTTCTGCAACTGGTTTTGAGAAAGGAAGGTGTGGATAAGACTAGGATTTACAACATATATTTAAGAGCTCTTTGTCTATTGAACAGACCAACTGAGCTTTTAAACGCACTTGTTTTTATGCTTCAGACTCACTGTCAGCCTGATGTGATTACCCTCAATACTGTTATTAATGGTTTCTGCAAGGTGGGGAGAACTGATGAAGCTTTGAAGGTCCTGGACGATATGCTTATAGGCAAATTCTGTGCTCCTGATACCATCACTTTTACGACAATTATCTGTGGGTTACTGAATGTGGGAAGAACGAATGAAGCTCTTGATACTTTGAATCGACTGATGCCTGAAAGGGGTTTTAGCCCTGGTGTTGTGACGTATAATGCAGTTATCCGTGGTTTGTTTAAACTAGAACAAGTAGATGAAGCAATGCAGGTCTTCAATGGCATGGTAAGTAACCGTGTGGCTGCAGACAGTTCCACCTACGCAATAATAATTGATGGATTATCCGGTTCGGGCCACATAGAGGCAGCAAAGATGTTCTGGGACAATGTTGTCTGGCCGTCGAAGATTCATGATCAGTACGTTTATGCTGCAATTCTTAAAGGGCTTTGCCGTAATAGCAAGTTCAACGAAGCATGTCATTTCCTCTATGAACTTACAGACTCGGGGATCACTCCGAATATCATATGCTATAACACTGTGATTGATAGTGCTAGCAAGCAAGGTCTGACGAGAGAAGCTTACCAAATTGTTGGAGAAATGAGAAAGAATGGATTGGACCCAGATTCTGTGACTTGGAGGATTCTTGATAAATTGCACAAAAGCATAAAGATATGATTCAACCTAGTAAATCAAAAAGGGATTTACAAGAGGTGAATTGAACCCTAGTGAGCCAACCTTTTATCCTTAAGTAGAAGGGGTTGATTGATCTTACTACCTGAAAGTACTCCGGTTTTGTTTTGAAGTTAAACTCAGCTCGATGGTAAAACAAGAAACGACGATAAATGAATTGTTGAGTGAAATAGTGTTTTTGTCTTTTAGATTCAACAGTAAAAGTAAATTAAATTTACTGTTGATTATAACAGATTACCAACTATTTCTTGTGGATCTGAAGTATGATTAATGTATAATTAATGAAAAAAGAGTAAACAGAAGAAAAGATGGTTTCTAATTGGTTTTGGGTTTACCGGACGCAGCGTACAAAACGCGTCTGATAAGTGTCCGCGTTGGTGCAATCAAGAATCCGCCATACTTGCAGGTCCCACCTAACTTTTGTTCTGTTCTTTATATTTTTATGATGGTGAGTGAGTGACTTTTACTTTAAGCAAGTCAATCTTTCTACACCTTAATTCAATTTTATATTTTTAACATAATTTGATGACTAAGCAGGGGTGTATTTTAAATAATTGTTATAAAATTTTATATTCTTATGTTTATTTGTTTTTATTTTTTTAAATATTACGGTAGAAATATAATAATGCTACCCATTATTATACATCATGTAATATTTATCTATTTTTTGTTTTTATTTTTTTTCATACATTATGATTATTGTAACGTACAATTTCAATAAAACTTTTGTGAGAGCTTCCGAAATTCGGAACTTCACATGTAAGTATAATAGCATTTTAATTTTTAATAATTTTTTTTACACAAAATATAAATATTCTAATTTATAATAGTAATATAATTTAACTAGTTGCGACAAAATTAGAAATTTCTTTTAAATTATTAATTCATCGAATTATAAATTAAATAAAATGAATTGACATTTTTTGTAATTTGTTAGAAGGATATTTCTGTAAATAACACAAACATTATCTTTTCAAGCTTTATGGTACGAGCAAGTAGTAGAGAGTAAAAGCCCATTACTGTCATCGTCTTCAACCTGTAGCCGTCCGCCAAAAAAGAAAAAAGAAAAAAAAAAAAAAAAAAAAACTCCATTTTTAATATCTTTTAACTCGGATTCCTCAACACGCGCAACTCCTTCCCTAATTATATATACCTCCCCTCTCCTCCTCTCCACCGCTCAAACTATCTCTTCTTTCTCAAACTGGAATCCCCTCTATAACAACAAACAAAACCCTCTCTCTTTCTCTTCCATTAATTTCGCCTTCTGCATCTTACCTGAAAATGGCAAGCACCAACCCAGAGTCGATCTCAAATGACGCCGTCGCGGCGGTTCCGCAGGAGAATTCGTCGTCCTCGATTTACATGGGGAACCCGGAGGAGCTGCAGAAAGTGTTCGACCGGTTCGACGCCAATGGCGATGGCAAGATCTCCGCCACTGAGCTCCGGGACGTGCTCAAGGCGATGGGCTCCGATTACACGGAGAACGAGGTCCAGCGTGTGATGGAGGAGGTCGATGCCGATCGCGACGGTTTCATTAATTTTCAGGAGTTCTCCGACCTCTGCCGCTCTAACTCCTGTGACTCCTCCGCGGAGCTCCGTGACGCCTTCGACCTCTACGATCAAGATCACAACGGCCTCATCTCCTCCTCCGAGCTCCACCTCGTCTTGAACCGCCTCGGCATTAAATGCTCCGTGGAGGACTGTGTTCGCATGATCGGCCCCGTCGATTCCGACGGCGACGGCAATGTTAACTTTGAGGAGTTCCAGAAGATGATGACAACTTCCCTTGCTCCCGCCAAAGAGTAGATTTCATTCTCTCCTCTTTCCTCAATTGCTTATATTATTGGGGAAGGAGGATTATGAACCTCTTCTGATGTGGATCTGGAAACGAAATTGAAAATTGAAACGGTGGGTTTTCTTTATATTCTCCAGATTTTGCAGAGAGGCTTTCGTTTATCTTCCTTATTAGGATTACTCTGTTTACCTTAATCTCATGATATATGAATGACGAACCTGTATCCGAAAATGGAGGTTTCAGCTTCTTCATCAATGTCTTCCTTTTTCTAGGAAAAAAAACTGCTTTAATTCGTTACTAAATTAAACGAGGAACGCAGGCATGTAGTTTCGTTCAATTTAACTGATCTGTTTTAATTTCTGTTTGGTTCGCTGGAAAATTCATGCCTCGGTTATCCAGTAGTTTAGCAAACGAAATTGCTGTAAATCTAGTGCTCGATACCTTCCATTCTGATTACATTTACATGGATGTTTTATCTTCAGCTTGAGCAGATGGAAAGTTTCTTGGGATATTTTCTGGTCAACCAAACAACGAATACGATACCTTTTTTAGATTAAGTGGTGGTAGGTAAGAATCTAGATATTACTGAAAAGTTTTAGCCATGGTGATGACCACCATGCGACTGCGTGATTCAGACGGGAAGACTGGTCAACGCAAAATTCGTGATATTATAATCAGCAAAATGTGATCAGATTTTCGTCAATTCATTGTCTAAAACAATAATTAAGCAGAAATTAATTTGATACTTATCGACTGAACACTAATAAAACATAATCAAATTATTAGAGACGATAACCAGTCGGATTCGGAACAGACCCGAATCTGGTTCGGATCCAGACATGTTTATAAACTTATGTAGCAGCAAACTAGTTTAACCTTTGATCGTATAAAAAGTATTAGCATTGAGTTAAATATAGGAGATTAATTATCCTAATTAAATCATCATTAAGTAATATTATGATATAGAACAATCGTTATGTATAATTAAGCTAAATAAACGTAGGTAATTCAAGTCAACCAAACATTACAAAATAAGAATTTCTGTACTCCAATATTTTCTTTATAGACCCATTCGTGCTGAAATAAAAGATCTAATGGGGAATTGAGAGTCACTAGCCTACATTTGTTTAAAGATCCATTGATACATATATATATATATATATGTGTGTGTGTGTGTGTGTGTGTGTGTATAAAAGGTAATATGTGTGTCCAAGAACTATTTAGTAATTAAACATAAAAAATTTAAAACGTTTTCATTAATATAGGAAGTTATTCGGCCTACATTTAACAACCATGCATTTGTCTCCTTCCACAAAACCTATTACAAATTGTATGTTACATTAAGCATAAGTTTCGAGTTAAAAATTTAAGTGATGATTTAATTTTTAATTTGATAGAATATAACCCAAATAAAAAAGAAATTAAAATAAAATAGTAATTTAATTTTAAGTCAAGTTTATATCTATATTAATTATTTTTATGTTTTTCTATTTGATAGGTGAAAAAAAGCAAGAATAAAATTCATTTCATTGTGCATTAAGTATTGAATTATGACTAACAATTATATATTAAATGACTAAAATTTAGGAATTTAACAAAATTAAAATATATTTAGACAAAAATGTAAAATTTTTTAGAGGGTGTAATTTCCTAACACGATTTATTTGCTTACATTCCGTGGGAATATTATTTCCATTCGTCAGATAATTTCAACGAGTAAAAATGATGCAGATGTTATGGGCCTTTAAAAAAGTTTTGTTATATTAATTGGTCATGTTAACTCCTCCAATTAAGCTAATACGGCCCTTCAGGACTACAATTGAATATTATCCTTATTATAAGCAATAATAAAATGTTAATATGGGCTTCAATAACTTTAAATAAATTGTAATACCCGAATCCGAAAAACGACTCGAAATAATTTTTTGTTATTAAATTATTAATTTAAAATAATTATTTTATTTTATTTTATTTAAATAAAATTTTAAGAAAAAATAAATTGTGTACGAAATTGAAAATAATTTTTTAAAAAAAGTGGTAAAAATTTAAGTTCGAATAGTGTTTTTGAAAGAAAAATTAAAATAGGAGGTCAAAGTGCAAAAAGAAAAAGTTCAGCCATGTAGAACCGTCCAGTCAGCAGCCCCGACGAACCTAAGTACGCCGTGTGGTAAGACACGCTAACGTCAGTACTACCTGGGACGCCATGCAGGCGATCTGCATGCCCCACGATTAGACTGCCAATGATCGATCTCGCACATGTGGACGGTCCGGATTTGTTTTCCCTTTAGGTATGATTGGACGGCCAAGATCAATCACGATGAACTATTCAAATTTATTTTTTTTTAGGCATGATCAGACGGATGAGATCGATTGCGATGGATGGCCTAGATCAATGCGGAATAGGTAAAAATACTTCGCGTCACACAGGAGCCCAAACCCTAGCCGCCAGCCCCTGTCGGAGAAGAAGAACCAAATGCCGGAAAAAGAGGCCGACCGCCAACCGTCGCCGCATCGGAGCCATCGTCGGCCACCAAAAAAGATAAAAAAAATTTCTACCTGCTCGAAATTCGATTTCAAGCACCCCTATGGCTAAATTGGAGCAAAAGGGACGACAGGTGAATCAAAAACTACGGGTAAAGTCCGGCCGAGCCACTGTAGCCAAAACTCCAAAATACCTCCGATGAGTCCCTTCCTGCTTTTCGTTTCACACGATTTTTTTGTTATTGTATTCATCGTCCTTTTCTGTGTAGGTTACCTGAAGGAAGAATCTGAATCGTGAAGGAGGACTGACGGAGCTGCCGTACCCAAAGGTTCCCCCTGCCCCCGTTGGTAAGTTTGATTTTTGTGATTTTTCGGCCAATTGAGGTCTCGTAACGTATTTTTCTATAAGGATACATATAAAACTGTCCAAAATCGGTCAGATCGAGGTGAACCGCCTCTGTGGGTAGCAGAGCCAACGCTGGAGTATGGGGGCGGCACTGTGCCAGAACTCCAAAATTTGTCGGGATGAGTTTTGGCTACTAATTTTGGATTTTTTGAGTATTTTTAAATATGTGACGAGTGTCTTGGATTTCATAGAAAAAATTCAAGAAATCCAGTACTCGTTAAGAGACTTAGTAAATAACTCGACGTCTCGAAACACCGATCCGAGTAAGGTTCCCTCACCTTATTCTCCGTTACGGTAAATTGAGACTTAACAATGTATAATTTCGTATTTTTATGAAAAATTATAAAATCTTAAAAATAATTACAAGTTATTAGTGGAGCCAAAATCGGTTAGTTCATAATTGTCTTGATTTCCTATTTATTTTTCTATACTATTCTACTTGGTTGATTTTCGTATAATACATGTCCTTAGTTTATAATTCAATGGTCTTATCAACTTATTTGATTTTTTTAGTTATATACCGTCAGCATGAATGTAGTTTAATTGATATGTGAATATGATATGAGATACTGGTATGTGTTTGTTAGTTGTTTGTTGATGAAAACTTGTATGTGAAAGGCTTGCTAGTTACCAAGGAAAATGACAGACGAGCCCAATACATAGGGAATCTTACCGTAAACGTTACCTCAGTTGGACGGAGCTAGAAAGTCTCTTATCGAAAAAGTTTGAGAGATATGGTTTACCCTCATATCGGACAGGGTATTGAGATGATGGAATGGTTGGTATGTCACGCCTCGATATTCAATATGAGGTGCAATTCCTGCTCAAGTTATTTCATGCAATGGCCCCATTAAATATATACATATGTAGATAAAAAAATATAATACAATCTAATATCCCATGTGATATATACAGTAACTATATATACAAAATATGAGGTCAGAATTTAGAGTATAATAGAATAAAATAAAACTTTTCAAATATGTACAAAATATACAAAAACAATAACCATTCTACAGGTTCTACTTGTTTGGTAGTGGTGCTGACTCTTCATTTTTCTTTGAAAAATATCAGAGTATAATTTAATGAGATTCACCAACTCAATAAGTATTCTTGTTCTCTCAACTCAAATAAAATTTTATGTAAAACACACGGTGAGAAACAAAAACAATAAAAATATTTCAGTGCAAATTCTTGTTCTTATTTTTACTATTTCACATGTTTCTGATCGATCTGATGAATTATCTTGAATATCATATACAAATCTCAAATGTATATTCTCATACTCTTGAAAGTCATAAATGCACTCGAATATCAATAGTCATTTTGAAATATAATCACATACATAAAGATCACAGATACACTCGAATATCGTTCATAATCTCGAAATATAATCACACACACAAAAAAATCACAAATACACTCGAACGATCATTTTTATATTTTCATCACGCGATGTCGTTTATGTCATAATCAAGGAAAGGAGAAATGGATCCCCCCCATTGCATGGATAGCACACACACAAATCATACAATGGCCACAATAGGTACTTTTGCTAGGTGGCCCACACTCACACGAATGCCTATCTACGTCTGGATTAAGTTTCAGACTCTATCCATGTGTAAGTTCACCATGTCTGCTGAACTTCAGCCACACACATACACTTCCCTTCTCGATTTAGACTAAATGAGAAGGTATTCAAGATCCTTACCCTATTCACTCCTACTCTCTCATTCCAAAATTTTCAATTTATTTAAATGATCATTTTTTAACCTTAATTATTTCTTTTCCTTTCTATGTTTACATTTTTTTTCTTTTTTAATTTTTCTTAATTGAGAATTTTTTTTTTCAATTTGATATTTCATCAATCCAAATAACTCTTAGTCTATTGGGTTTGTTTTCTGATTTCGTCTCCTTATAAAGTTCCAATTGTTTAGGTTTATTGATCATAATTTGGATTCTATTTTTCCATCGAAATTGGGCCAATATCCCTTCAAATTTTAAATTTTATAATTTTTATAAAATGAATGCACTTTTCGAAATTTAACCCGGTTGAGATTTAAAAATACTTACTCTCTTACACGTCTTCTAAGATCTGCCTGAATATCTAAATTTTTTTGTACATACGATATAATTAATTAAAATACTTTAAAATACTAAAAATTAATTTAATCAAATTATGGGTTTCAACGACCACCCAACAGAATACCCGAATATATCAGGATCCGTACTCGGAAAACTTTTTGGCTTCCCGTTCGGTGAATCAAATTTTCCTTTCTCAAGGAAGACTTTTCAGCTTCCTGAACGACAAATCGGAACCCAAAATGGTGGATCGGGTTCTCATGCTCGGGAAAAACCCTTCAGCTTCCTAAATGGGTTGGTTTTGCCTATTCTCAAGGAAGCCTCCTTAATTCCCACACGGATGGGTGGCCTGGCAGCCAGCCCGACACTAGCCCCACCCCAATGTCGCTCAATCACCACCAAAACATAAAAATATAACAGTTTTACCTTTCGGTGTGGGCGATTTGACCTCGGCTTGGCTCCTGGTCGCCTCTTCTTAGTCACTCCGTAACTCCCTTGCGTGCTTGCAATTG